CGTTAGAGATTCCATGGTATGCAAGCTTGCCTCGAGTAGAGACGAGATTCTATATTGAACAATATGGTGGAGAAAACGACGTTTGGATTGGCAAGACACTTTATAGGTACTTCTTGTTTTATTTTAATGTTGTTGAATTTAGTTATTCTGCACAGTCCAATGAATGCAAAACAAATGTATTGCAGTGCATGTTAAAATGCACGCATAGACCTGACCATATATGCGTGGGAGGGAGATAAAGGGTATTTTGGTCATCAATACCTAGGTGACTTTAATCTGGATGAAAAACAAACTGTGACGAATAAATAAGTGACCTATTGACAAATATCATAAAACAAAAAACTGGATTGGATCTTTTTCGCAATTACATGTATTTTAGTTATAAAGATAATTAGTAATGATTTTGGACGATGCAGGATGCCTTACGTGAATAATAACGAATATCTGGAATTAGCAAAACAAGACTACAACAACTGCCAAGCTCTGCATCAACTTGAATGGGACACATTCCAAAAGTAATAAAATCTTCACTCTTCATTTTCCCACTAATTATTGCTTTAAATAGTTGCGCGGGATTTTTTTCTTAGCTTTTAGAAAATATAGTATAATGACTTTTTCTTATTTTTCCTTTTTTTGTTGTTTATATAAATAAACGATGCTTTCTAAGTGTTTCATCACTAAATTGTAGTGAAACAAAAGATTTGTGTAGCTCAAACTGAAATATTTTTGATAAAATTTAATTAATGGCTAAAAAAAAACAAAATCGTTGATTCAGGTTAAACTTTGTATATATTAAACCATTTACCTACATAATTGACAGAGTTTGTACTCAGGTGGTACGAAGAGAATAGGCTAAGTGAGTGTGGTGTAAGCAAAAGTGAGGTTCTCGAGTGTTATTACTTAGCGGCTGCGACAATCTTTGAAGCAGAGAGGTCACATGAGAGAATGGTTTGGGCTAAGTCAAGTGTTTTGGTTAAAGCCATTGTTTCTTCTTTTGGAGAATCCTGTGACTCAAGGAGAATCTTCTATCATCAATATTATAGATATATTGCCAATGCACGACGAAGTAAACATCATCACTTCAATGGCAGGTAATTATATAGTTTCTGTTATTAAATTAATATTAATTAACCAAGATCATACATACATACACGAATGTTCTAACTGGTGATAGTATGTTGGGTGAATCCACCAAATAATATACATCACTAGAAAATAATTGATTGTTGAGGATTTTTAGTGATTTTTCCATCTATTTGCTAAGCATATTTTGTTAGTACTATTTTATTTTATAAACATAGTTTGATTTCACAAGAAAAGAAAACAAGCCTTTTCTTATTGTAAATTCTGGACATTTGGTCCATCTAAAGTATCTAATCTAAGAGATTTTCGTTTAATTTGACTTTTGTTTAACAAGTATTTCCCCGCAAATTTTTTTTTTCTTTTAAATTAAGTCGTTTGACCTTATGTCAATTGTATATACAATTGATTTCATTCCGCAACACAAATTTGTTTATTGGTTAGGTTAGAGATCAATTCTCATTCGATAGATTCAAAATTGGTGACGTGTAACAACAAAACAAAAACAAAATATCTGGAAGCCGGAACAGTAAGAAATGAAAGTTCCGATACTATAAGCAAAGAAAGTAAAAATCTTTTGGAAATGTGAGATTTAAGTGAAGTCAAAAAAGAAAAAAGAAAGTTCTGGTAGAGTCAGTTGATTGACTAATTTGTCTATATTATAAAATATGCATGTTGGATATGAACAAATCAGGAGCATGAGATTGGACCGACCAGGATCGGTTCAGGCGAGTCGGCTTGTCGGAATCTTAATCGGAGCTTTGAATAAATCGTCCTTTGATCTTTTCATGTCTCATGGCCGTGACGTTAACAATCTCCTCTATCAATCGGTACATTTCTCTCTCTTTTTTTTTTTGGTTTAACATATATAATCTTACATTTTTAATATATTAAAACTAATAATATACTGAGTGTCATAAACTATATATAACTGTAATAAAGTGAGATATTGAGTGTCATAAACTATATATAACTGTAATAAAGTGAGATATGTATCTCGTACATGCGTATATGAATCATGTATATGTGTCTTTAAGAGAAGTAGTAAGAAGCCAAAGTTAGAGAGAGAAGAGAAAATCTTATTCTTCTTCACAAGACACGATCACATATTTATAGTACACAAGAGTCGGTTAAGTTTTACTTAACCATGAAGTATGCTGATATAATATCAAATGGATAATGGTAAATGAATAATCATTATCCTTTCATAATACTGAGAACAAATAATAGAGTATTATGATCTTATTTTTAATATCTGCATATATGCATAATTAAGTGTATGACTTATCAATGTCTATATACAGTGGGGAGATTGGCTAGAGAAATGGAAATTAAATGGAAAGGAAGGAGAAGGAGTGCTCATAGTGAAGATGATAATACTAATGAACAACAATGACCTAACTAGCTTCTTCTCTGATCCTCACTTTCTTCGTCTTTCGGAGATCATCAACCGAATTTATCTCCATCGTCAACTCTTGAAGGTTAGTAATTCATTTTTAGATGTTTTTGGTTAATTAATGCTAAAAGTTCAAACAAATAAACAAACAATTCTTACGAAATTCGGTCCTATAAATCCGATGTCCCAAAACAATAGCTTCTTTTGCATATGTTGTGGACCGGGCTTGCAAATATTAATCAACTTAAAGCGATAGTTCCATTCGATGTTACGGGTTCGAATCTAATCAATTATTAATTGTCATAATGCAGGCAAGTAGAAACGATGAGAAGGAGAAGACAATAAGGAAAATTGAGGACGAGATGGAGCTTATGGTTGAGTTAGTACTGTCGGAGAGTGACACATTCCGTGACGTCAGCATCACGTTTCTCAATGTAGTAAAAGCCATTTACTACTTTGCTTCGTGTGGTGATCATCTCCAAACTCACATCTCCAAAGTCTTGTTTCAAAAAGTCTTGTAACCTCATCATTATCGTTCCATTTAGTTAACATAAAATGGATCTTCATTTGGATAGGGAGAACGAATTAGATCATTTGTAAAAAACAAACCTTGGAATATCTATTATCCAATCTCTTTTTTGTCTATGCTTTGCATCGGTTCGTGTAATCTTATTTTTCCTCCGTTTTTTAAATTTTTTTTAGCATCCCAATTTCTTGTCAATCATGAAGTCTTGGAGTCATATATAACATGTATGTGTTGGTAACTCTTTAAAAGAATGATATATGAGTGGCCATCATCTAAATGTGATTTGGAGAAGAAACATAGGAAGTGATGTATAGTGGGGTTTGTACAATAAGAGCCAAAGAAAGAATCATGCAGTTGTCATGTCAAAAAGACCTCACTTTTCTAGAGATAGATTAATAATA